AACCAGAACAAAATAGTACCTTCTTTATAACTAGTCTTTTAGGATATGGAAATAGTTCTAGTATAATGAGCCTTTCTTTGCAACTATATTTTTCCATTATATTTTATTCTTATTGAACAATATTCAGTTCTAGGAAACCCCTAGTCTACTTTTTCTATCTATGGGTTTGCCTATTCTGGGCATTTCATATAAATGGAACCATACAGATCCCAAAACTATGGTCTTTTAAGTCTGGCTTCTTTCCCTTATACATGCGGTTTTCAAGGTTCATTCATGTTGTAGCATTTGTTAGTACTTCTTTTCTGGCTGAATTTTATTCCATTGTATGGATATATCACATTTTGTTTACCTAGTCATCAATTGATGAGCATTTGGTTTGTTTCCACTTTTTGGCTATTATGAATAAAGCTGCTATGAACATTAAGGTATACATTTTTGTGTAGACATGTATTTTCAATTCTCTTGGATACATACCTGGAATGGAATTGCTATATCATATGGTAACTGTTTAACTTTTTGAAGAACCACCAAACTGTTTCCTACAGTAGCTGCACCATTTTATATTCCCACTCCACACCCTCACCAATACTTGTTTTCTTTTTCTGTTTTTTGTATTATAACCATCTTAGTGGGTATGAAGTGCTATTTCATTGTGATTTTGATTTGCATTTCTATAATGACTAATGGTGTTGAGCATACTTTTATATGCTTATTGGGCATTTGTATATCTTTGCAGAACTGTCTATTCAAATCCTTTGCCCCTTTTTAAGTTTGATTATTTGTCTTACTTTTGAGTTAAAACAGTTCATTTATATCCTAGATAGTGTGTGATTTGCAAATATTTTCTTCCATTTTGTGGGTTGTCTTTTCACTTTCTTGATAATGTCCTTTGAATCATTAAAGTTTTTAACTTGATGAAGCTCAACTTATATTTTTTTCTTTAGTTGCTTTTAGTATTATATCTGAGAAACCATTGCTTAATTTTTGTTTATAAAAATTTACACCTATGCTTCTTTCTAAGAACTTTATAGTGTTAATTCTTACATTTACGTCTGCTCCATGCTGAGTTAAATTTGTATGTTGTGTGAAGTAGAGGACCAGTTCATTTTTTTTGTGTGTGACCAGTTGTCCCAGCACTGTTTGTTGAAAAGACTGTTTTTTCCCTATTAAGTTGTCTTGGTACCCTTGTCAAAACTTAATTGACTATAAGTATATAGGTTTATTTCCATACTCTTAATTCTGTTCCATTGGTCTTATATGTCTATCCTTATGCCAGTACCACACTGTTTGATTACTGTAACTTTGTATTAAGTTTTGAAATTGGAAAGTGTGCGTCCTCCAACTTTGGGTTTTTTTTTTTTTGGTTTTTATTTCAAGATTGTTTTACCTATTTGGACTTCCTTGCAATTCCATATGAATTTTAGGATCAACTTGTCCATATCTGCAAAAAAAAGACAGTTGGAATTTTGAGGAACTGCATTGAACCTCTAGATCAGTTTAGGGAGTATTGCCGTCTTAATTTTGTTTTCAATTCCATTAGATCTTCAGTAAAGTTTTTTTTGGTTATCTTCACGTGAGTCTTGCAGTGAACATTTATTGTTAGTTGCATTTCTAAGATTTTGTAGTTTTTCTTTAATTATTTTTAGGGATCTTTTATCATAAACATTTTTTAATTGGCTAATGCTGTATCAATAACTTGTTCATTTTTATCAGGGATAGAAAAATAGACCAAAGAATAGAATAGAAAGTCCAAAAACAGACTCACGTATACAGTTTATGTGACTTAGGACAAAGGTATCATAGAAGTTCAATATGGGGAAAAAGATGTTTTTTTTTCAATAAATTGCCCTGTAGAATTGGATAGCCATAAGGAATAAAATGAGCCTTGGCCCCTCTACCTTACACTATATACAAAAATTAATTTAAGATGTCTTACAGACCTAAATGTCAAAGGAAGAGCAATAAAGCTTCTCTAAATAATAGAATGTCTTTATAACCTTGGAGTAGTCAAAGATTTATTGTAAAGGCCACAAAATAGTACTAACCATTAAAAAAATAAAATGGACTTTATTTAAATTAAAAAGTTATATTTATCAAAAGAAACAAAATATTCATGAAACATTTCTGACAAAAGATTTGTATATAGAATATGTAAAGAACTCTAAACCAGTAAAAAATGAGCAAAAGATGAACAGGAATTTCAAAAAAGATGTTATCTGAATGGCGAGTGAGTATATTAGTCATCAGAAAAATATTAAAACCACAACATACTCTGCAGATGCACTAAAATTAAAAAGATTGATAATATGAAATGTTGGTGATTAGGTGGAGCCACTGAAACTCGCATACATTGCTGGTGGAAGTGTAAAGTAGTCAACTACTTTGGGAAAATAGTTAAAGCTTTCTCTTAAAGCAAATGTACATCTACCTTATAACCCAAGCAGTTCCACTCCTAGGATATACTCGAGAAATTAGGCCATATGCCTACCACCCGCCGAAGATATGTACATAGTATCATGTTCATAGTATCTCTATTTATAGGATCCCCAAATTGGAAGCAACCCAAATGCTAAATAGCAGAATGGATAGATGAATTTTGGTATTTTTATGCAGTGGAGTACGAAACTGCAATACAAAAGAATACACTAATGCTAATACAACATGAATCTCACAGACAATACTGAGGGACAGAATCCAGACACAGAAGAATGTACATTGTATGCTGCCGTGTAGGTAGAGTTTCAAGAACAGGTAAAACAGTCACTGTGATAGATGACAATATAGTGGTTATCTCAGGATTTGGAGGCAGGAAGGTGGATATTGACAGGCAAAAGGAAGAAAGTTTTCTGTAGTGCTGGGAATGTTCTGTTTGATCTGGATGATGAGAACATGAGGCTGGGCCATTATAAAGATTCCTTGATCTGTATAGATGATAGGCATTAACACTTCACTGTATATACTTTAATTTTAAAAGTAAAATGCATACGTATTTATAAAGATTGAATAAAATAGGCACCATACTTAGTCATCATTTTTCAATTCAAAACATGATCTCCACTAGAGATAAAGGAAGGGTTTTGACAAAGAGGAACAAAGATACCTTCAATTTTTCGTTTTTAACAGAACTTCAGAGATCACAAGAGCCATAGGAGAGAAAACCTGCCAGGGGTTGTCTGTATCTTCCCCAGAGGAAAATCATGGTGTTTTGAAAAGGAGCTTTAAAACACGTGATTCCTCAGAGTTTTTAAGTCCTTTGCCTAAGCAGGACATGTGTGACAACTGCTCTCCCCTTTGTGGGAATATGGTGCATTTGAGATGGTGAAGACTAAGAACGACTGAGCTGGAGCATTGCTTCATTGCCATTAAAATCCCTTGCTTTGCCTCTTTTGTAGGGGTCTCTGAATATTTGATATACGTCTTAGTGAAATTCAATTATGCCAACATTGTAGTTACAATTTCCTAAAGTTCAGTAAACTGTATTTTAGAGGTATTTCTGTTTTTATAGGACTCTCTTAAAAACTAGTAAAAAAGAACAATTAACTCCTGAAATTTTGTTCCATGATTAATTTTATTTTGTTAGTATGAATTTAAATGTTCTCAGGTCATTAGTGTTTTTTGTTTTTTTTTTGTAATGAATGATAATGCTGATACTTCAATTTTATGATTAGATTTCTGTTCACTAATCAGTATTTGAAGAATTTCTTTTTTAAAGGGGCAAAGCGTTTAGTACATTCTTTTTTTTTTTAACCATGTATTAAGTAATATAGCTAGGTAGATTAATTCTTAATGGCACATGAGAAGCATCCTAAACTAGTCCCTAGGTGGGTAAGGTTGAGTGGAGAGGGTAAATATTAACTCCCTTGGACCAGAACAGGGAGCCATCAGAAAGCATTGAAGTCTTCTCTAGTCTTAGATATTCACAAAGAGGTTGTTCTTTGAAGAGTGTATCTTTACTCACGGCCACAGATCTTGTGGGACTGGAATCATTATAGTGAGGAGCTCCTCAAATGTTCGTTCCGATCTAAGCACCTCCCTGGCTTTGACCTATCCTTAGGAAAGGAGGAAGGGACGTGGGCGTGATGACACTCTCAGCCCAGGGCCTTTGTTACTAAGGACTCTCGGCCCTTATTCCTGCCAGTGCACTTCCCTGTGTGTCATCGATTTGAATTGCTCCAGTGAGGAGACGCTTGTTCTGCCCCTGACACCAGTTTTCTTTTTAGCATGTTTTTCTTTTAGCATGTCTGATCCGTATTAGGATAAGCAAAGAGTATTATTGCAATACAGTTAGTGGGAAGAATGTTAAGAAAGAAAATGTAGTAAAATAAGTAAAATAGCTACAAAATAGAGGGGACACATGTCAGGAAAAATCTGTGCACATAAGACAGTCGGTATTCACAGTAATCATAAAACGAGATGTGTCTGCTGATACTTAGGACTCATCAAAAGCCACTTTAATTAAATAACTTATTAGGTTGAGAACTGAAATGTCTATAAAAGACAATCAGATTTGTGACTTAAACATGGATAAGTGCTGTATTTAGGCTCAAAGAAATAGAGTTCCTTCCTGTAACCTAAAAATAGTACAAACAGGACAAATACTTGAAATAATATAGATTTTAATTTCTAAGTGAGAACAAGAGAGCAGGGAAATACAATGCTAATTAATGAAAGAAATGCTTGTAATGTAAGAAGGTTTATACCTTAGAATTTGGTTGTGGTACACACAGTGGCTAGGAATAGGAAGCACAGGAAAGAAGTATAGGAAGCAAACTGGGCATTTGGCTCTAAATAATGAAATTGAAAAATTGTGTTTGATAACCAGGACAGGTTTTGACAGAGAACTTAAGGCCTATTTCTGATCCTGCAACTGTCCAATATTCGTTTTTAACTTGTGTATTAATGTGTAACACGTTTCTAGATTATAAGCATTTTCAATAAAAACTGATGGTGTTTCTATTATACCCAATTACATTTTCCTTTTTCATTTGTTTTTCCCCCAGGAAACTTACTGGACATTCTTTCCACATGGGCTATAGTATGGCAATATTGAATGGCATCGTAGCTGCTCTTACTGTTGCATGGTGCCTCCTGTAAACTCACACGGAAGCAATATTCTTAGCAAAACTTAGTCATGATTGCTTTGTAATAACAGGGAAGAACATCATTGCCTACTCAGAAGACCAAGAAACCTGCTTTTCATTATGTGATTCAGATACGTTTTATATCATCATTACAAGAGGACCTTCTTAAGCATTGTTCTAGAACCTGGGCATTAGGATATCTGAGTATTAAGTTTCAAGTAATTTCTTAAAATTTTAAGATGTTTACCTCATTTCTTTACTTTTCTGTGTGTTATTTTTGTAAATTGTAGAAAACATTTTCATGGAAATCAAACTGGAAAACTTGAATACAGGACAGTGCCCATCTTTCTATGTATATTCTACATTTTTGCTAAGAATCACTGATATTACTGTTTAATTAAGATGGAACCATTTCTTAATTATTCATTATATCAGGAAAACCAACAATGCCCACTACTTTAACATTTTATAGAAGCTACTTTTAAACTGGAATATTTAGTTTGATATTCATATAATCAATAGAAGCACATTTGTATTTTGTATTGAGATATAGTTCCTTGTTGTGTGTGGAATTTTTTTTTGTTTTTTCTGTGTGTTTTTTTTTACATATTTTCCTACTATATCTTGAATTTGTATGTTTTAAAAATTGTTACATCTAGACAAATGTAAATGTTATTCTTTACCTGGTGCAAGCCTAATAACTCCAATTTTTAATAAGTATTTTGTCTTTTAAAAAAAACACATTGACCTCAGTTTAAAATTAAGTAAGCTTATTTTTAACAAAAAAATGACTGAAAAAGTAACCTATTTAAGCCATTAAAATATTGAGAAATTCGAAGCTGTTCACTATTTCTTTTTCTACAATTCCAGATATTTATCCTGGTATGTATATATGGTTACTTCAACAGAACTGATATTATTTGTTTCTAATAAATATAAACCTGACATTTTTATATTTAGAAATGCTTGAACTAGTTTGTTTTTAATCTCAAAAATTTAGTTACCAAAACAGAAAAGTATTTTGATACAGTGTGTATATATGTACAATTTTTATATATAGTTTCATAATTTTCCTATTTAAATGTTCGATAATTGTGATGTTAGTTTTTGTTTTTATAGTAATTAAGCCTTAATTGTTCTCGCTTCCTTTCTAAATAACCTGTTTAGAAAGTCACTTCAATTTTAAAATGATGGACTATTTAAAAGGCTGTTTTTCCTAGCCACAGAAAAACTTAACATTTAGGAAAGCATTGTATAGTGAAATTGCTTATTCAGACTAAACGGTAAATAAATTGTGCAGTGTGTTCCTGTTATCTGCTGAGTGTTGTTACTGAATAAATGATTTAATGATGTTTCTAAGTTGTAACATGTTTTAACNTGTGTGTGTGTGTGTGTGTGTGTGTGTGTGTGTGTGTGTGTGTGTGTGTGTGTGTACGTACACAGAGACATACATACATGTATACAAATCGCATGGCTTAATATTCCTTCCAGAGTGGTGGTTGCAGTGAATCTATTTTTACCCCGTCTTTCTCCTCCACAACTCCCTGACCTTGGCTCTAAAGGACTCTTTTATTGCAAAGGAATGTGCAAGTAACCAAGTCAGTTTTTCTTCCCCACCACTCCTAATCACCCCGTCCCCCAAATTTGGATAGCTTCTTTTAGATTCTTTGTCTTGTGACTATAAAAACTATTACAGTAGGCCCTCTGTATGTAGATATCTATAAGATATCTAATATAGGTACATATAGATATATATCTTTAAGAGTTTTTGTGGACTAGCACTGCTCTTTCTTGAGAAATTGCTTTCCCTTCTCCAGTTTAACAGGGCTCAAATATAAACCAACCTACTTCCATAGCAGAGCGATTGACTAAGGATAGGCACCTACCTAACCAATGGTGGGCCAGTCCTAGTTTTCTCATCTCTCCTGGTCACAGTGATTACAACAGGAATAGAGACATGGCTCAAATCAGGCCAGCCTTCCCAGGATTTCTCAACTTGAAATTAAGGTATGATGATGAAGCTGGGATGATACAAGCCCAGGAGATGCTGGCAGTCAGGGTTCAGCCATGCTGGTTCAGAGAATAAGGCTGACATGGATACTGCTAATGACTCCTGTAGTCCCTGAAGCCCAGTGGTGACCCTGCTGTTCTTGAAATTTGGTAACATGAGCTGATAAATTCCTCCTTTGGCCTCTGCTGTTTGTATTGGTTTTTGTCATTTTCAACAAAAGAAGTCAATATGAATTTACCTAGCAGCTGGAATCCATCTCTGATATGAAACTGTCTCAGATGATCTCATCTCTTTGTGTAGGTTACAACATTCCAATCAGTTACTTGCTAAGGATACATTGGATATAAGTGTGCCTGTGGCTAATAATTATCAGTGATCTCAAAAAGTTTTGGAGTAAAACTAGTTATTAATCTACTTGCTATTTCATCAGGAATTCATTATATTTATGTCCCCAAATTCAATTCTGCCTTAAGGGTTATCAGAATATTACTTTAGTTGTCAAAATACAATAGTCCACACCCCCATCTGCAGTTTTTGCTTTCCAAGGCTTTGATTTCAGTTACCCTTGGTCAACCGCAGTCCAAAATATGTTAAATGGAAAAGTCAAGAAGTAAACATTCAATAAAGATTCACAAGTTTAAAATTACATGCCTTTCTGAGTAGCATGATGAATTCGCATGCCATCCTACCTGGTCATGAATCATCTCTTTGTGTACTATCCACCTTTAGTCATTTATAGTAGCCACTTTGGTTATCAGCTTGGCTGTCACAGTGCTTGTGTTCACGTGACCCAAATTTTACTTAGTAATGCCCCCTAAGCGCAATAGTATCAATGCTGGCAATTTGGGTATGCTATAAAGAAACCATAAAGTGCATACTTTAAATGAAAAGGTGAAAGTTCTCAAGAAAAATACTGTATGCTGAGGTTGCTAAGACCTGTAAAAATCATGAAATTGTGAAGAAGGAAAAATAAATTCATGCTAGTTTTGCTGTCACACCTCAAACTTCGAAAGTTATGGCTGCAGTGTATGATAAGTGCTTAGTTAAGATGGAAAGGCATTAGATTTGTTGCTGGAAGACATGAAGAGAAAATGTGTTCTGATTGACAGCAACATGTTGCACCAGGAAACATTGAGCCTATCCAAAGACTTCTGCAGGAGATCCTCAGAAACAAGTGACCACAGTTACAACTTATTTATTGCAGTCTATTATTATTATAATTGTATTTTATTGTTAATCTCTTATTGTGCCTAATTTATAAGTTAAAGTTTATTATAGGTACGTATGCATAGGGATATACATAGTCTATAATAGGGTTCAATAGTGTCAGTGGCTTCAGGCATCCACTAGGGGTCTTGAAATGTATTCCCCAAGGATAAGGGGGGACTACTGTATGAGTCTTTAGTTAAATCAGATAATGAATTTTAAATACAGTACCGTTACTTAATAACTTAATGCCTCTCTGTAAACATTGTTTACAGAGAAAAATGGGAAGAATAATACTTAAAATATTAGATTTCAACTACAATGAAAATATTCCATATCAGAATTTTTAGGACCTAGATAAAACACTGTAAAGCAAATTTATACCTTCAAATACATTTATCATGACACAAGGAAGATTGAAAATAAACAAGCTAAGGATGCAAATCAAAGGTTAGAAAAATAGCAGAGTAAACTCCAAAACATTGGAAATAGGAAAGATAAGGACAAAATGGAGACTAACACCAAAAAAATTGAGGTAATACCTGTCTGAGTCAGCTGGGGCTGCTATAATGTTAGAATAAAAAGGGTTCCTCCGCCAGAAACCAGCAGAGCCAAACACTAAACACCGAAAACTGCAGTCAGGAAAGATTGGCTATTTCATTAAAAATGGTGACACCTGAGGAGACTGGGAAGCTCATGCTCAAAAGCCCGAACTCCCTGATCAGGGTTCAAGCGGGGGTTTAAGGGCACAGGTGAGGAGGTATCCTTAGTGCTGGAGGGGCAAGTTGTTTTTTTTTTAAAGCTGAGCCATCCTGCCACCTTTTGGCAGCTCAGCTCGGGCCGTGAATCAAACCGGGGACCCTGTTGCTCAGAGCTCTAACTCTTGAGTGAGCTCTTAACCAGCTGAGCTACTCGGCCGGCCCCTGTTTTTCCTTTTTGTTGTTCTCTTTCCTGCTTTTTATTTTTGGCAGGGCAAGTTTTAATTGGAGGACCTTGAAGCTCAGCCATTTATGGTAGGGGGTGTGAGCACAGGATCTTCCTGGACAACAGACCCTCTGCTTCTGAAAGGGTTCCCATGTTTTAAGTTCCTGTTATATTCGGGTCCTTCAGTTCTGGGGAGGGAGTAAGACTTTGGTTCCAAGGGCAGCTGGACATCAAAGTTCTCTCTGCGCATGCTTTGGCTGCGTGGCTTGGGGTTTTGATCTGTTGTCTCAGAAAAACAACTCAGTATTTTGCTAAACAGGATAGGGCCATTTTGAGCTGATTCGCTGGTTACAATAACAGGTTACCACAGCCTGGGTAGCTTAAACAACAAACATGTATTTCTCAGTTTGGAAGCCTGGAAGTCCAAGGACGCCAGCATGGCTGGGTTCCAGTGAAGACCCTCTACCTGGTTTACTTGCAGGTGCCTTCTCATTACATCCTCACTCGTGGGGAGAGGGCTCTCTTCCTCTTATAAGGATACTAATCCCACAATGGGGGCTCCACCCTCCTGATCTAACTACATCCCAAAGGCCCCTCCTCCAAATACTAGCCTGTTGGGGGTTAGAATTTCAACAAATGAATTGGGTGGGGGGAGCACAAGCATGCAGTCTATAACAACATCCAATACCAAAAGCGGGGTCTTTGAAAATATAAGATAGGCTTCTGTTAACCAGATTTTAAAAGAGATTTTCTATATTTGTCTATTTTTTCATTCTGCCTGTTTTCTTGACTATAGCAGGGCCCTATTTTGCAAGCATCAGAAACCATCTGACTAACTTAAAGAAAAGCGAATTGATTGAAAGGCTATCCAGTGTCTTTTAGAACTGATGGGCAGGAACCAAGAAAGTGCTTGTGGGTCAAGGAGGAGGAAGCAAAGGGACTGACTGATAGTGGGAACAGCGTAGTCAGTGATACAATAAATCCTTCCTGTTCTTGTTCTTTGCAAGATGAGCTAAAGGCTCAGGGTCCTTGGAGAGAGTGCCCAGTTGCCCAAGATTAGGTCATGTGCCTACTCCTTTTGCCTTCTGTAATTGAAAGCAGCATCTGGAATTCTTTTTGGGATGGGTGAATGGATATTAAGCAACCAACAAAAACAGATACTCAACTGCAAGTCACTCTCGGCTGTTTCGTTTCCACACACATTCTATTCCTTTCCTACTTAAACTTCAAAAAGTACCCATGCCTAACAACATAGCTATTATTTACTATACCCAATGCCAAGGCCAGGACCTTCAGATTATGCTCATTCTTCTACATTGCCACATTCTCTTACTGATATTCTGCAAATTACATGAAATAGTCATTTTACCACTTATGAACACAAATGACAGGAAAGAGGGGAAATTTGTTAAAATACATGTTATATATGACAGCAAGAAAATACAGGCAGAGATGCTGTCTTATTTAAATGCCTGGTGATGAAAACTTCCTCTGCATCTGTTCTTTTATCTTTGTTCTGGCTGTATTAGATTTCTTGGCAAATTAGATTTCTTCCCTGATAGAAGGACCAAATTTATTTCTGACGTATGAGCTTTGGTTGGTTCTCCTGCCACCGCATAGGGTAGTACAAGAACACACCCCAG